GATCTTAAAGTTTGAGCGTTCTTGTGTGTCTCCCCTCACTTCATATCAACTAGACACCTCATTCTCAACTGTAGCCCTCTGTGGCTACGTCCTTGTCCATGGGCCCAGAGACCAAGATCTCACCATATTTTGGACCAACTAGCCCTTCCTCTTCTCGCTCTCATCTCCACGTTGACGGGAGTCTATAGAACATGGTCGAATTCAGCCCATAGCTTTGCTGTTGCCTTTCCCCCACTTCCACTCACCAGTAGACCAGTGTTGTTGTTGTTAAGTGCTGTTGAGTCAATTCTGACCCATAGCAACCCTGTATAGGATTTCCAAGGAGCAGCTGGTGAGCTTGAACTGCTGACTTTGCAGTTCAAATGGCTTTGCAGTGTGGCACATTAACCCACAGTGCCACAATGCCAACAAACTTAAAAGCCTGCTTGTATATTCCCTTTGAGTTTCAGTCTTGGCGGGGGAGGGGGGGGTTGTCCTGAAGGGACTTGATTGCTTGCCTTGATGTCTCCCTGATGAACAACTTGCTTGTTCTTGTAGTAGCCAATCAGACTGTCATTTTTGTTTTGGATTTTTCCTGGTGGTTTGCCTTTCAGGAAGTATCTTCTGTTCCTCCAGCTGCTTGTCCTTTCAAGTGGGAATGTCCCACCTCAGAAGGTTCTGGATGGGGATCAGGACCACCTAAGGTCTTATACACTACAAAGGTTCAGCAAGCAGCCTCTTTCACAGGGCAAATTCTAGCGCCCCTTTTAGGTATTCTAATCAGTTATAGGCTGGAGACAGGCTTACAACCTTTCTATAATCATATTTCCTGATATTCCTTTCTATCCCACTCAAGTGTGTATTTTACAATAGTAGGCAAGGGAAACCTATATTCATAAGACAAGCATCTTAACATTATTACCCCTTTTACCATTCAGACTATGCCTTGATCCCTGTATCGCAGAGCCCTGTTGTTCCACGGTTGAGCACCACAGATTTTGGCATTTGATGATTTTTTTCTGCAAGTTTTAAATCTTTGTGTTACTTTGTTGATTTTGTGTTGTAGCTTGGACATTTTAAATAATATGAGATTCTGGGTCTTTCTTATTTAAATTGTATGGAGATTGCTGATCTTTATATTTTAACAGGTTATCAACCTGTAAGGTTCAGGATGTAATTTCTATCCCATTGTTTGTTGGCTATGGTTCCAATGTCAGTTTAATTTTCAAAGCCTTTGCAATTCTCTGGACCTTTTGGGTTTGTGAAATAGAATCCGATCCAAAGATGAATGGCTTGATGATAATCCTTGGAGTTCATAAACAATTTATTATGTTGCTTTCTTAGCCACCTCTTTCTTCACAATCTC